GATGTGTACAAAGCACCCCTGCAGGGAGACCACAACCATCTCTTCATCAGACAAGGAACTGGGCTTCAGGGACAGGCTGTCTTCAAGACAAAATTGACCTTCCGGTAAGCCTGGGAATTGAATTGAGTTGAAGAGGTTAGAAAGTGCTGAGTTGTGCTTGACATGCAGTCAGATACAGATAGTCCTCGAAACTAACCAAAGAGAGAAGCAACCTAGAAATAAGGAGAAACTTCCTGACAGTTAAACAATCAGTGGAACTCCTTGCCTCCAGAAGCGGTGAATGCTCCCAACAGTGAAAGTTTTTAAGAGACTGGCCAGCCATTTGTCCGAAATGGTATAGGGCAGGGGTAGGCAACCTTGGCTCTTTTATGACTCGTAGACTTCAACTCCCAGAATTCCTGAGCCAGCATGGTATAAGGTTTCCTGCCTGTGCAGGGGTTGGACTAGATCAGGGGCAGGCAACCTTGGCTCTTTTATGACTCGTGAATTCAGGAATTCTGGGAATTGAAGTCCACGAGTCATAAAAGAGCCAAGGTTGCCTACCCCTGGACTAGGTGATCTCTAAGATCTCTTCCAACTTCTTCTATTATTATTGTTGTTGTTGTTGTTGTTGTTATTATTATTTGGTTTAGTGACTGAAATTACAGCAGCACTTAAAAAACTGATTTATGACTATTTTCCACACTTAACCACCGTTGCCACATCCCCATGGTCACGGGATCAAAATGGCGACACTTGACAATTGACTCATATTTATGACGGTTGCAGTACGTCTGATCGAAAGGATGGGATTTGTACAACAGTGTGTCAGCTCCATGGGTCCTGGCGTTGTTTTATGGGAAATGAATTAGCGTCTCCTGGCATGCTGTTGGCTGAATTGCAGTAGTTTGGCAAAGGCTTTCCAACATGCCACTAAAATCCAAATTAAAAGCAAGACAGTGAAAGAGAGGGGCAGATAGCTGTGGAAAGTGAGAGGAAAGGAAAATGAAATGCAGAATAAATGTATTTGGTAAGAACAGGGGTCTTCAAACTTGGCCCTTTTATGACTTGTGGACTTCAACTCCCAGAATTCCTCAGCCAGCAACGCTGGCTGAGGAATTCTGGGAGTTGAAGTCCACAAGTCATAAAAGGGCCAAGTTTGAAGACCCCTGGGTAAGAACTTTATTCACAGTGACCATTCACCAAGCAGTGTGACAATGACAGTCTTGCGCTGGTAAGCCGATTAACCCACATATTTGATGGCGTGTTGCCGTTTTTTCTTTCAAAACGCCCCTTCCCTAAGCAAAGTATTTCCACTGGGTTAATTTGTCGCAGGCCACATTCGACAGACAGCGCCACGCACAGGAAGATGACCCTCTCCTTGGCAGACAGATGTTCAAAAACGCAGAAAATCCGTATTCTGCCAATGGCTGGTCGTGATCCAGAGTCCCAACGCACAGAAATGATTAAGGTATGCATGAATCAAACCCCATCCTTGCCCTCTCCTCTCTTCTCTAGCCGGACTGTAAATTTAGGCTGGCTTGTCATTAGTGTCTTGGCCTTGCTGCTCAAAATCTGCTGATCTGGGATCTCCACAGTGTTAAATTAACCTAAGCTATCATAGGGTGAAGACCCCTATACCTTGCTGAATATGCTCCTTGTGTCATGCTGAGTGAGCAACTCTCCCCCCCCCCAAAAAAAAAGATAAAGATCTGCTAAACCAGACATGTCAAACATAAGACCCGGGGGCCGGATGCGGCCCGCAAAGTGGTTTCATGTGGCCCGTAAAGCCATCCTGGAAACAGTGAGGGAACGGCCCCTGCTGCCTTGGCCCTGGCCCAGGCCGGCTGGGAGCCAATGTACAATTTTGTGGTGGCCATCTATGCTGAAATGCATTCAGTCTTAGCTCCACAAGGCCATCTGGAAACAGTGAGGAACCAGCCCCTGCCACGTCGGCCCCACCCCCTGGGTGCATGCTGGGGAGGGGTCACCCTTTGTGAGGAATGAAGAAATGGACCATGCCTTGGCCCTTGCCCTGGTTCCACCCCCTTCTGCCAGAGACCCTCAGATCTGTCCCACTCCTGCCCAGGCCCCCACAGGCACCCTTGACGCAAACGATGTAGAGCTGGCCATGCCCACCCAGTAGGCCACACCCACTCCATGCCCACCCAGTATGCCGCACCCACCCTGGCCACACCTACCCGGCCCCCCAAGGGCAACCACAATGCTGATGCGGCCCTCAATGAAATTGAGTTTGACACCCCTGTGCTAAATGCATCAATTGATGTATCCCCATGTACAGTTTCCTTGCTTTGCCTGTTCTGTTTCTGTTCTGAAACACAGCCCAGGTAGAATTCTCCCTTTATTTTGGGGCTAAGGTGCTGGCCTAGAAACTAGGAGATGGTGAGTTCTAGTCCTGCCTTAGGCATGAAAGTCAGCTGGGTGACTCTGGGCCAGTCATCTAAAGATGGAGAGTTCTAGTCCCCCTTTAGGCGTGAAAGCTGACTGGAGAACCTTGGGCCAATCAGCGGAAGAACTGAGATAAATAAATGAAAAATGAATTTTATTTGCACACTGGTTACTCCTCGTGAGCTAGGGTGGGCTTCAATTCAGAGACCACCCTGGTTGAGAGTGATTTTCAGCCCCCCCCAGCACGGAACCCAAGAAAACAACCCTGACTTCTGTTCTTTTCTCCTGCAGAAAGAGGAGGAACGGCTGCGAGCGTCTATTCGTAGGGAATCCCAGCAGAGAAGGATGCGCGAGAAACAACACCAACGGGGTCTGAGTGCCAGTTACTTGGAGCCCGACCGCTACGACGAGGAAGAAGAAGGAGAAGAAGCCATCAGCCTGGCCGCCATCAAGAACAGATACAAAGGCGGGATACGAGGTAGCCTTCTCCTGCTCTCCTCTGGAGTGGTTCCACTCGGTCACTCCCAGTACCTAAACCACTATGGCTAGTCCAGTACCTTGGGAGAGGCACCTAGTTGGGGAAGCCTTGAACTTATCATCGTGGTAACTTTGGTCACCACAATGTAAAAAAGATGTTGAGACTCTAGAAAGAGTGCAGAGAAGAGCAACAAAGATGATTAGGGGACTGGAGGCTAAAGCATATAAGGAACGGTTGCTGGAATTGGGTATGTCTAGTTTAACGAAGAGAAGGACGAGGGGGGACATGATAGCAGTGTTCCAGTATCTCAGGGATTGCCACAAAGAAGAGGGAGTCAAGCTATTCTCCAAAGCGCCTGAAGGCAGGACAAGAAGCAACGGATGGAAACTAACCAAGGAGAGAAGCAACCTGGAACTAAGGAGAAACTTCCTGACAGTGAGAACAATTAACCAGTGGAACAACCTGCCTCCAGAAGTGGTGAATGCTCCAACACTGGAAGTTTTAAAGAAGAGATTGGACAGCCATTTGTCTGAAATGGTATAGGGCAGGGGTAGGTAACCTTGGCTCTTTTATGTCTTGTGGACTTCAACTCCCAGAATTCCTGAGCCAGCCATGCTGAGGAGAAAAGGAGAGGTTTCCAAGCTGAGCCATGCTGGCTCAGGAATTCTGGGAGTTGAAGTCCACGAGTCATAAAAGAGCCAAGGTTGCCTACCCCTGGTATAGGGTTTCCTGCCTGAGCAGGGGGTTGGACTTGATGACTTCCAAGGTCCCTTCCAACAACAACAACTACTACTACTACTACTACTACTACTACTACTACTACTACAGAAGTCTGGATGAAAGTTCAGTTAGGGACAGTCTACTACTACGTCGTCTTCTTCTTCTTCTTCTTCTTCTTCTTCTTCTTCTTCTTCTTCTTCTTCTTCTTCTTCTTCTTCTTCTTCTTCTTCTTCTTCTCCTCCTCCTCCTCCTCCTCCTCCTCCTTCTCCTCCTCCTCCTCCTCCTCCTCCTCCTCCTCAGTTGGTCATCTGTCAGCTTCTTTAATAGCTGTTTGCCTTTGCAAACATTACAGCTGGGTTTTATCCTTTTAATTTGTACCCTGCGAGTTCTTTTCACCCCGGCTGTTTGCTTTCCCTCGTTCTCTCTCCTTTTTTTGCACAGCGCAGCCTTTGCTTGTACAAATAAGCTTATCAGTATCGTCGATCCCGTTTGCTTGGTGGACATTTTCCACGCTGGGTTGCATAGCGAGGCTCCCCCCCCCCATCCCCATCGTTGCTTATTCCAACCTGGTCTTTAATCTCCAGTTTCTAAGCTGCACTTGGGAGTTCTAAGCTTTGTTTTCCGGCCTTTGGCCTTTTGGTGTGTAACGCGTGTTTTCTCTTCCAGAGGAGCGCGCTCGGATTTATTCGTCAGACAGCGATGACGGCTCGGATGAGGAGAAAACACAGAGGCTGCTCAAAGCGAAGAAACTCAACAGTGATGAGGTGAGGGAATCCAGACGAGGCTGGACATCAGCTGATAGTTTCTCCATGGCTGTCGTTAATTCTGGGTTGAGGTAGAGCGAAACTTTCATTTAAAAGACAATCGTGATGTGTCTGACCAAATTTGAATTCGGTCCCCCCTGAAATAACAAGCAAGTATGTTGTTTTTCAAAGCCTTTGTGGACAGTCAAGCTAATTTACTTCACTCAGAACAAGGTGAGGAACGAAGTCCCTTTTATGACTTGTGGACTTCAACTCCCAGAATTCCTGAGCCAGCTATGCTGGCTCAGGTATTCTGGGAGTTGAAGTCCCACAAGTCATAAAGGGGCCACGGTTCCCCACCTCTGATTTAGCTCAACCTGCATCCTTTATAAAATAATAATAATAAAGGCAATAAATATGTGTACAGGGAGTCCTTGACTTACAATCAATCCCTTAGTAGCCATTCATAGTTACAGCACACCTCCCCTGGGTTACTTACGATCTGGATTCCAAGTTCCGACAGCCACACACGCGCGCATACACACACTGAAGTCGCATAATTGCATTTCGGGTGCTCAGCAACTAGCCGGCATTGAGGACCATTTGCATAACCACGATTTACAGTGGGTTTGTTGTTTTTTGACAAAAACCAGCATTTACCTTTGGTTTCTGACAGAAAAAATACCCATTGCAAACACCAGATTCACTTTAATGACCACGGTGTTACTCTAATGACTGTTGGAAAAAAGATAAATTGGACATGGTCAGTTTGTGACCAGTTGAATAGAATAGAGTTGGAAGGGACCTTGGAGGTCTTTTAGTCCAGCCCCCCACTCAAGCAGGAGAACCTATACCATCTCAGGCAAGTGACTGTCTAGCCTCTTCTTAAAAATCTCCAGTAATGGGGCGCCCTCGATTTCTGGAGGCAACTTCTGTTCCACTGGTTAATTGTCCTCATTGTCGGGAAGTTTCTCCTTAATTCCAGGTTGCTTCTCTCTTTGATCAGTTTCCAACTATTGTTTCTCGTCCTGCCCTCTGGTGCTTTGGTGAACCAACTGGCCCCCTCTTCTTGGTGGCAGCCCCTCAAATACTGGAACACTGTTATCACGTCTCCCCTAGTTCTTTTTTTCTTTAGACTAGCCAAGCCCAAGTCCCACAGCCGTTCTTGGTATGTTTTAGTCTCCAGGCCTTGGATCATCTTAGTTGCTCTTCTCCGAATTTTTTTCCAAACTCTCAACATCTTTTAATGACTGACATATAGTTGTAAAGTCGGGGTCCCATCGCAGTCATAAGCCGAGGACTACCTCTGATAACCACCCTGACATTTTTCAACAGTTTATACCATTTGCATCTGTATGTGATTCTACAACTGTGGTACACTGATGCAAATGGGGTAAGACCATCGACGACACTCAGACCGAAAGAACGTTCTCTTCCCGCAGTTGGTCCATCCGATCGACGTTTCATAATACTGTGGCCACGTGAACCACGTATGGGAAAGAACCAACAGGTCCCGGGGAGTCTTTCAGGAACGTTCACATCCTTTCCCCTATTTTGCCAACTTACAGAAGTGTGGGGAGGGGTCTACAAGGCATAGAAAACATGTCCAAGAATAATAATAAAAAACAATTTCAGCAAAGCAAAGCCAATCCAGAGTTGGAGAGCAGCCTGGGGGCCTAGTGGTGAAGAATGCTGGCCTCCCACAAGGAAGGTTGAGAGATCAATCCTAGGCAGCGGGGCAGATGTTTCTCTATCAGGGCACAAAGAGAAAATGTGTGCTGTGAACTTTCCGTAGGCGTCAGGAAGGGCAGCCAGCCAGTAAACGCTCATCTCCATTCAGTTATCCTAACCACCTAGAACAGGGGTAGGCAACCTCGGCTCTTTTATGACTCATGGACTTCAACTGCCAGAATTCAGCTATGCTGACTCAGGAATTCTGGGAGTTGAAGTCCATGAGTCATAAAAGAGCCGAGGTTGCCTACCTCTGACCTAGAATAAAGGAATTCCAGGGTCGGAAGAAAATATAAATATGTAAATCTAGAGCTGGAAGTGATTTCAGAGGCCACCCAGCCTGTTCCCTGCTGTTGCAGAAATCCATCATCAAAACTCCCTTGCTTGAGAGCCATCCAGCCTCTGTTTTAAAAACCTGCAGTGGTGGGGTCATGGCTGGGGAGCGGGCAGCTGATAAACGGAAAAATTATCAGCAGTTTTGTGGGGTTTATTGATTCTGTCCTGAACTGAACTCCTAATAACAGATAATGGAAAAGGCGGCTTCGTTTTCCCCTTTTTCAAGCTATCAAGCTATTCAGTTTGAGTGTTATTCAAATCCACCACAGGGTGGTGCTTCAGCATTAAACAAAAAAAAACACACACAACCCATAGCACATGTGACACAAATATTGTGGTCCATCCAGACACTTGCGTGTTTTTATAAGAACCTCCTTTTAATCACAACTCATCATTGATTGCTTAAAAATTATTTAGAAGGGTTATGTTTTGGGAGACCGGTTACAGGGGGAGAAGCTTTGGATTTTTCAAGATTTTCCTAAGAACCTAGAAGAAATGTATTTGTCTGGAAGGCAACCATCTCTATTAAGATCAGGAGAGAAACTCAGCCCTTGCTCAGCTTACTGTCATTATTCAGAATTTATACCTATTTAGAGCTGTAAGCAGTTAATAAGACTAATTGCCAAGTTACTTCTGGGCTCAGCAGAAGCACCAGGATCTTGTATTTAATTAGAAACAGTTTTCCCACTCTGAAGAATACATTTCACTTTTTCAGTGTTTTAATATCCTGTAGCCTGTTTTCCATCTTTGACGTGTTGTGTGAATTTAATAGTTCTGATGTTCACACAACAAGTGATTCTTTTTCATCTCCGGCTGAAGAGAACAAATATTTGTTCCAGGATACTTGAAGGAAATAGATTTAGGAGGAACCTCATCCCCAGATCCTGCCTTGTGTTTGAAATTTCTTTCTTTTTAATCGCAGGAGGGTGAGCCTTCCGGTAAGAGAAAAGCTGAAGATGACGAAAAGACCAGCAAGAAACAGAAGAAATATGTGATCAGCGATGAGGAAGATGAAGATGAGGAGATGTAATAGGCATGGACTTTGAACATTGGTGATAGGGTGTTTTTTTTTAAAAAAAAAAAATAGAGACTATATTGTTCTTTTCCAACCATGATGTAAGTAGATTCCATGAAGAATGGGGGCGGGGGCGACATTTGTATTAATGATATTAATGTGAATAAAACTTTTTGTGGGATTTTTTTTTTTAATGTGGTGGGATTGGTGTGTACGTTTGGTGACCAATTTGGGGGCCTGTGCCTCTTTCATCGTCTAACACAGGGCTTTTCAACCAGTGGTACGGGTACCACCTGTGGTACATTGGCACCTGGCCGGTGGTACGCGACCATCCTAGAAAAGTGGTAGTGGGGGAGGGGAATGAGCTGAACCGGTGACAGCACCACACAAGCCTGAGCGAGAGACGGCTGGAGCTCCATGGCTGTCAGGGCTCAGCAGAAGCGCCAGGATCAGTGCCAGGCTCCAGCTGGAGCTCGGCGCTGATTCTGGCGCTTCTGCTGAGCCCAGAAGAAGTGTCAATCAACTGGAATGTTGCAGCATCTCCAGGGTCTTGTGATTTACATTCAGATGCTTGGCAACTGATTCATATTTATGACGGTTACAGTGTCCCAGGGTCATGCAAAGTGACCAAAACCTGCTGCAACCACCCAGCAGACGGGGGGGAATAAAAAACAAACACCCCCCACCCCACTCCCGCTGCCAATCCTCAACAGAAATGCTCACAATGAAAACCTCGGACAGGAGCAGTGGCGTAGCGTGGGTTGTCAGCACCTGGGCAAGGCACACACCCCCCTCCACAGTGGGCGGCGTCGGCGACCCGGCGGCTCGGATCAGATTCGCACAGCCAGCACTGCAGAGAGAGTGAGCCAGGCAGGGGCAGAGAGCTGCGAGCGCGAGCGCGCCCCCCCCAGATGTTGCGCCCGGTGCGGCCGGCCCCCCCTGCACCCCCCACGCTACGCCTCTGGACAGGAGGAAGAGCACCGCCGGGTGGGCAGGCAGGTGTCTTGTTCGGCTGTGCCTTGGGGGGGCACTTTTTTCAGTGCCATTGTAACTTCGAACAGTCACTAAGCGAACTGTTGTAAGTCGAGGACTACCTGTACTTTATCACTTTTTTCCTTTTTTGGGGGGAAGGTCATCAAGTTTTTGACACCTTGCTAGGTGATTGGTGGTACTCGGATATTGCCATATCCTAAAAGTGGCACAATGGGTGAAAAGGTTGAAAAGCCCTCGTCTAGCATAGCACAACCAGGATGGGCAGACTCCGTTGTCTGTACCCAGAAAAAACTTCCAGAGATGTTTTTGACATTCTGTTCACCTTGGGCAAAGACGGGGTACCTGCGGGCTCTCCAGCTTCGGTCAGGATATTTGTTGATTGGGGATGATGGAACATAGAAAAGCTGATAGGAGTTTGAGGATTGTCAGAAGGATGGGAAAAAGGAAAGGCATCAAGCAATCATTGGACCGGGATGGTATAAGGCAGGGGTCTTCAAACTTGGCCCTTTTATGACTTGTGGAGTTCAACTCCCAGATGCCTGGCTGAGGAATTCTGGGAGTTGAAGTCCACAAGCCATAAAAGGGCCAAGTTTGAAGACCCCTGGTATGTCCTGCCTTGAGCAGAGGATTGGTCTAGAAGACCTCAGGTCCCTTCCAGCCCTAGGATTCTGTGTTCTATGTTGTAACTGTGTAGCAGTGAAGGGATAACAACTCCCCTTGGACTTTTTTTCCGAAAAGAGCATCATCGCATGTCTGACCACAAAAGAATTGTATGTATTGCAAAGCCATCTTCTCACCCTTCCCCTGTATTAAACCATTATTCTCAGCGCCTTCATCGCTTAGGGCCAAACCACAGTCATTTTCCTGTGGGGTTTTCTCAGTTTCCCAGTAGCCTATCCAAAACCTGGCTTTTCCTCCACCCTTCCTTCTTCTTCTTTTCCTTTTTTTTCTTTTCATTTGGGGGCCAAAGTTTAGATGGACACGTTCGCCCGTCTAATTGACTCCGAACTTGTGAGCAATTAACATCCACGAGAAAGTCCTTGTGACTTTTCCCTGTGTCATTGCACAGCCATTGGGAAAGTCATGGGTTCCCTTAGGGATCTTTTCTTTTTTTTTTTTTGCCCTCCCTTTCTCAAAACTTTTTTTTACAAAAGTGCTCCATAACTTGCTAGAAGTTTGACTTGGTAATGTGATGAATAGAGTGACCTCAGAAGGGATGTGAATTCTCTTCCTTTTCTCCAGTTTTATCAACTCTTACCAGTTTGGAGTTTCTTTTTTTTTAATGGGACAGCTCATATAAACCTTACCCTAAACCAGTGATGGCAAACCTTTTAGAGACCGAGTGCCCAAACTGCAACCCAAAACCCACTTACGTATTGTTGGGTGCCGGGTGGGCGTGGCCCATTCAGTGTGGGTGTGGCCCATTGGGTAGGCGTGGCTGCGGTGGTAAAGGCAGACGGTGGGACTAAAAAGTTCAATCCATCCATTCCAACTTTGCGAGATCTTTTTTTTCCCCGCAAGAAGTTGAAATTGACTGATTGATTGAACCTTTTCTTTTTTTTGCACACGGTGGCGGAGGCCTAAAGCAAAAAGGTTTTATAAAACCCAGCTAAAGGCCTAGGACTGGGGCGACGGCATGCATGCATGCCCACAGAGAGGGCTCTGCGTGCCACCTGTGGCACGTGTGCCATAGGTTCGCCACCACGGCCCTAAACTAATGTTTCTCCACCTCAGCAAGTTTTAAGATATGTGGACTTTAATTCCCATGCAGGCTGGAGAACTCTGGGAGTTGAAGTCCACACATCTTAAAGGTGTTAAGGTTGAGATGCCCTAATAAAACGTCTCAAATCCTTCGGTGCCCTGTTCAGTGTGAGTACGAACACCTCTATTTTGGGAGTTGCCTTTGCCGTCTTCCAAACATACTGACCTCAAATTTTTTTCTGCTCTGGGTTTGAACTGTTCAGAGTCATTGGCTCAGGGAGGGATGATCGCTCTTAACCGTTAAGCATTGGTCGCAAAGTTGCTTCTTTCTCACCATCGCAACTGCGAATGGTCACTAAGCCAGGCAGTCGCTAAACAAGGATTACCTGTATTTAAAACATGTTTATTTTTCCCAGCCAGAAAACCCTTCAGGAGCAGCTTGCGTACAACGTCTGAAAAGTCCATTTACGGGACACCACGCGGAAGGAAAGAGGAGGCAGGAAAGGAAATACAGGTTTGCAAACCAGTTCTTAAGAGGTAACTACCGTGATTCAGTTTACAGCTGAAAACTCTGCTGGAAATGAAAAGGGCTGGTGGATTGACCCTGGGGCTGTGTCGCCTCCCTTGGCTGCTCTTGGGTACAGTTGAAGGAAGAAGCTGATGGAGGGGGTCTTCCTGTAGTAGAGGAAGAGCTGGAGGGAGAAGACAACCTATCCTTCACTGGGGGTCAAGTGCCAGGGAAATCAGGAGAATCCAGGCTGTTCAAATGTGTATAAAGATTTATTGAAAGCTTAAGCCAGTGGTGGCGAACCTATGGCACGGGTGCCAGAGGTGGCACTCAGAGCCCTCTCTGTGGGCACACGTGTTGTTGCCCCAGTCCTAGGCCTTCAGCTGGATTTTATAAAACCTTTTCGCTTTAGGCCTCCGCTGCCATGTGCAAAACAACAAAAAAAAAGGTTCAGTCAGTCAATTTCAACTTCTCGCAGGAAAAAAAAAGTTCTTGCAAAGTTGGAATTGATTGATTGAACTTTATAGTCCCACCCAGTCTGCCGTTACCACCGCAGCCACGCCCACCCAATGGGCCATGACCACCCAATGGGCCATGCCCACCCAATGGGCCACACCCAGCCAATGGGCCACATCCACCCGGCATTCGATGCATAAGTGGGTTTTGGGTTGCAGTTTGGGCACTCGGTCTCTAAAAGGTTTGCCATCACTGGCTTAAGCTCTCTACAGGAATCTGAACTACTAACGGCAAGGGAAATTAACAGGAGTTAAGACTAGAAAGGCATTCAAGGTGGGCTGGATTTAGATCTCTTGTGAGCGTGCAGGGATTCATGACTGATGATGCATTTGACCCCCTCCCTCAGGCTCAGCCTGGTCGTCTTCTACACTGGGCTTATCCAGCGTTTTTCCTTGTTCCAGGTCCCACCTTTCCTGAGTTTTGACATCACTTCATCTCTCCTCCTGCCTTTATTTGACGTTGCAACCCCGGTTCTCTTCTGTCTTTCTGCAGGGCATTCCTGCTGTTGTGTTGTAGCTTGTTTTGGTTGTTTCCCCCCCCCCAAACTCCTCCATTAAAGCAGGGCAAAGGTGATGTGACAGGAGGGAAATGTGGCAGATTATCAAGATGTGTTTCTATCAGGTTTTGGAGTACAAGGCCTAGATGAGGGCCGTAAACCTCAAGGTCACTTCCTTAAGATTCTGAAATCTGCCCTGTAAGGTCCCAGACTTTGAGAGGGGCAGTTCATCCTGTCTGAACAGGGGAATAAAATCACCCCATCGATGTTGCCTTGAAAAAATGCCAAGATAACAATGGGAGGGAAGCATTTTATTGGCTTGGGGATTACTGTAATCTCTAAGCACCGCCGATTTGAACCGAATCGTTGGGAGCGCCATTCCAAGTTCCAACGCTCCCCTCAGCAGTTCCAAACCTAATTCCATTTGGAAGACTACAAAAACTCAGTTCTTCCTGGTATTTTTTTCAGATTCCAGCAGCTCACGTTGCATTGTTAAAAGGAGAATTGTATGTCTTGGACGAAGGAATGAAATGGCAAGCCAAAGACACACACACACACATACACCTACACACACACACACATAATTTCAGCATGCCAGCTCTTTTTCTCCCTTCCACTCAGTTTCCTTTCGCATGATGTCTTGGGGGGAAAAAAAAGATTTAAAAATAAAACGTAATCTGGGCAGGTTCAGCCTTGTGCATTCTAGAGTAGGTGCCTAATAATAATAATAATAATAAAGTTGAAAGGGACCTTGGAGGTCATCTAGTCCAACCCCCTGCTCAGGCAGGAAACCCTATACCATTTCAGACAAATGGCTGTCCAGTTTCTTCTTGAAAACTTCCAGTGTTGGAGCATTCACCGCTTCTGGAGGCAGGTTGTTCCACTGGTTAATTGTTCTAACTGTCAGGAAGTTTCTCCTTAGTTCTAGGTTGCTTCTCTCCTTGATTAGTTTCCATCCGTTGCTTCT